TTTCTAAAAGAAGGGTTGGAGTTGTTGTCGTGGGCATAGTAGTCAATGAAGGTAGGAAGAATTCCTAAGTGCCCAAAGCAGAAGCAGCCAGGAAGTGATGGAGGAAAATTACTGGAAAAGTTTTATTTTTTCTCTATTTATGTGTAGTTTGGACTTAGGAAAAATATACTGCTGAGGTATTTATCTTTTTTTTAACAAATGTGAACATGAGCATAGTGGTGCATACCTATAACCAAGCACTTGGGAGACTAAGGCAGGAGGATCATGAGTTTAGACTAGCCTGGCTACAATAGAGAGACCAATCTCCCAAAAAAAAAAAAATGTAGAAAAAGAAATCAGCTTTTCACACATCATCACAGAGACTGAGATTTACCCATCATGGATCCAAGAAGAAAATGATGATCAGAGATCACCTGAATTCCAAAGTATAATCAAACACACCTGAATGATGTCAATGAGCACAAGAGCATCAAATCTGGCCAGGTACTGAAGATGATATGTTGTATCACTTTGATGTGTTTCGTACAAAGCCCTAATCTCCTCACAAGAAAAGTAGCTCTGTGCTCCTGTAAAATTCAGGGTGATAGAGACAAACATAGGGATACAAAGGCAAAAGTAAGAATCCCTGAGGTCATTGATGCCTCCTTGTCCTTTTTTCCAGTCCACCTAAGGACAATAGTTCTTAGGTACTCTCGAGTACTAACGAGTCAGTGTAGTCCTCAGGTGTCTTTGTCTTGGTAACATTTTCTGTATGGGCGAACCAGCCAGGTGACCTCATCACGAATGAAGGACAGGCCATGAAAAGCAAAAAGAGCCTAAGGAAAGGACAGAGAGCTATTAGAATTTTTAACATTAAAAATGGATTTCAAAACAGAAAACTACGATGATAGTCTGCATACAGATACAATTGTGTATACACCAACAGCGTCCAGTGATAAGCACCTAGACACACAAAGACTCAACTATGTGAACAAAATCAGCATGTACAGGTATTGACACTGGACTCACAGTCAGTACGCCTCCTCTCCTATCAATTAAATTTTAGAAATATTTACTGGGTATTTGTAAAGTTTAAAAACGAAAAGCAGCTCTGTCTTCAATTAGTTCAAACACTCAGAAGATAGGACACAAATAATTAACAAGCTATTTATCATGAGTACTCTTAAGATTCAAGGAACCAGCTCGGACCAATACAAATAGATTCACCAAAAGACTCAAAAATACACAATCTCATGAATGCCAGTCACTCCCATAGAGTCTCATCATTGATCATCACCCCTCCAACATTTCTCTCTTGCCTTAGGACCAGTAGACCTGGCTCATCAGTTTAACACAGTCTCCAGCTCCTTCACAGACATCGCAAAAATTGCGCGCCGTGACAATGAACTGCCGCTGAGGAAGAAAAGTAGAAACTAGAGAATATTGCCTCTCCTCCTTAAAAATCCTCCACGGGAAGTGCAGAAGAGAGCTGCATTGGAAAGGGGTATCAAGTGCTAAAGTTAGACTGGGAAAAGAAAACACAAGGAATCTGTATGGCACAAGAATTCCTGGGTCAAAACAATAGGTCTGCACAGAAACTCAGGGTGGCTTTGATTCAGGAGAGGTTCCTTTCCATCCCCTTCAAAGAGCTGAGCCTGCCACCTTTACCTGTTTGCAATTACATGTTCCTTGCTCTCCTTGATGTCTGCCACTCTCTGCCTATACCTGAGGATAGACACGCAACAGCAGGGTTGGCCATGTCAACAGTTAGCGGCCTTGTCCCACCTTCTCACTCAGAGTCTCCAACCTATAGTGCACTGGCAGCCCTTTCTGACAGATCGTTCCAAACCCTATCTGACCTTTTCCTGCCAATACAAGACTCATAGAGCTGGAGATCATTCCTCTACCTCTTCATTTTGCAGATAAAGAAAATAAAGAAAGGAATGATTATGTGCCAAAGGTCCATAAGGTCTTAATGGCAAATCTAGAACTGGATTTTCTTTCTTGTCCTTGTACTCCTGACTTTGACACCTTCAAGTCAAGGCATCTTCCAGGTTTGAGTGAATTAAAAAAAAAGCAGTGCATAAATGTCACACCAGCTCTGCTCTGAAGTAAAAGTAGTTGCTCCAGCGTACAATGGGTCCATTCCTATCTACTTCCTCTTGGAATTTAACTCAACAGTTACCTCTTTCATACTTTAATCTCTCCTCTCCAATCTACTAAACCTTCTCCCACATCACCAAACTCCTCCAACTGACTCTTAAATCCCAAAGGCTTCAACACTTCACAAACTGCTCACTCTGAAGTCAATGTGAACTTTTGAATCACCAAATTAAATAGTGTTTTTTTGTTTATGTCTGTCTACAGTATTTGACCATAATTCTTTTTATTCTATTAGTGATCTGTGCTCAAATCCCAACATTACCATTGACTCTTTGCTCTCTGTGTTCCTTTCACTTATTTCTTCTCTTTCATCCTGGATCCCTGTCACCACCACATTAATGGGACTTCATAACCTCTCATTTCCCTTCTCCAAACCACTTCTTTATTGAACTTAGCACAAAATTTTTTAATGGAATTGAAAAGTACCTTATTAAATTGGGATTCAACTCCATAGGATTCCTGATGAATAATTATTTCAACCTCTATTTAGTAAAGGGAAGAAACAGGATTAAAGACTAACAGAGTAGTTTAAGTGGTAAAGCATCTGCCTAGCAAGCATGGTACTGGGTTCAAACCCTAGTACTGTAAGAAGGAGGAGGAGAAAGAAGAAGAAAAAGGAGGGAAGGAAGGAGGGAAGGAAGGCAGGCAATGATTTTTTTTTTGTTATTTTTTTTTTGGGGAGAGGTTAACATTTTTCCCCCTTTGGCTTTTTTTTTTTTTTTTTTTTTTTGTAGCACTGGAGTCTGAACTCAGGGCCTCATACTGCTAGGCAGGCGCCCTTATTGCTTGAGCCATTCCACCAGCCCAGCAAAGATTTTTTTTTTTATGATAATACTCAGTTGTTGCAGAGTCAGTATTCTCATATATTGTTGATAATACAGTCTGTTCAGAGAGCACTTTGGTAAAAGCTATTAAAATTTGAAATGTGCATATCCTTTACCCTAGCAATTCCACAGCTGAGCATCTACCCTATAGAAATAGTCACAGATTCACAAAGATGTATGTCTAAAGATGTTCCTTTTAGCGTTTGGTTATATGACTTTTTAAAACAGAAACAGTTCAAATGTCCTCCAATAGGGGATTGAACAAACTAATTATATTATAACCACATAATGGAATATTCTTCAACTATTAAAAAGAATAAGCTTCTAGCCTACTGCTGGTGGCTCATGCCTGTAACCCTAGCTACTTGGGAGGCTGATATGGGGAAGAATGCAGTTCAAGCCCAGCCCCAGCAATAGTTCAAGACCACACCTCCAAAATAACCAGAGCAAAATGGACAGGAAGTGCGGCTCAAGCAATAAAGTGCCTGGTTTGCAAGCACGAAACCCTGAGTTCAAACCCTAGTACCACCAAAACAAAATCACTTATGAAAGGTTGAAACTACATGTAATCTGTGTGTATATGTACACATTGCCACGCACACACTCTCACATGCCATGCACATGCATCTGAAAGATGCACACAAACTTAGAAGGTGAGATTGTAGCCACTTCACTTGTATTTCACATTTTCTGGACATTCTACTTGCCACCAAGAATAAATACAGGTAATTTGATCCCTTCCTAATCCCACACATCTTCCTCATTATAGCTCCCTACTCTTCCTTCACAGTCAACTATTTTAAAACAGTTGTTAAATTCCTTCTCTCATTTCTAAACCCATTGCAACCCAGTTTCAACCTCACCATTCAACTGGCATTCATAAAAAGGGCACTCAGATGACCTTTATAGCAAAATCATATGAACATTTCTCAATCCTCACTTTATTTGATTTCTTAGCTTCCCTCTTGCAATGCTTTTCTTGAATTCTGTTTTCTCTCTTCTTTCCAATGTCCCTCACTGGCTTCTGGCTTACACCTGGCCCTTAAAAATCAACGTACCCAGAGGTTTGATCACTCCTCTTTTCCCTGCAAATGTTTGCCTTGAGCAACCTCAGCTACTGTCAAGGCTTTCAGTACCGTTCCACCAATCTTCACCTGAATTCAGACTTACTCCTCAGTTCTCATACTACACAGCAAAAGACATAACACATCTATCCTCAGTGTCCTACAGACACATCAAAACTGAATTCACAGCCTTTCCATACAAACTTGCTTTGGTTCACATGTTCTCTATCTTAAGGAACGCCAGAAACCTTGACATCGTCCTTCTAATTTACCTAATTAACCCCTGTCTCTAGCTTTGCCCATCTAATATCTTTTTCCCCTGCAGCAGAGTGATCGTTTCTAAAATGCAAATATGATTATCTCAACTGCCCGGTTTGACGTCATTTAGTAGCTCCCTGGCCTCTCAGAGACAGATTCAAACTCCGTGGCAGAGCCTATGAGGTCGCAATTTAACTCTCCAAACCCATCTCTTCATATCCTCACCTTTGCAACCCATGCTCTCCATGCTCTGAATTACAGGCACTGAACACTGACCATGCTCTCTCTGCCTCAAAATCTTACTAGTTTCTCTGCCTAGAATGTCATTCTCTGCCTTTAGCATCAACCCTGCCTTTCCACTCAACACCCACACCCACACCCACACCCACACACACACACACTTCAGTTGTTCAACTTTTTTTCTTTTATGGAGCTATTTTTTTTTTCTACCTATCTCCAGGTTTTTCTGTATCTTGCAAGGCTAGTTTAAGGGTCCTGTTAATACTCTGGCTTCTCTGCACATCACGTAAATCTTTCACCTTTTTAAGTGTTCTTATGAATGCTCCCACAGCACTTAGACTTTACAAACCACGACCTTTACTCTATCACAACAGTTTGTCTATTTTCCACCAATTTGCAAACTTCTCAAGGTAGAGACTCTCCTTTTTAAACTTTTTATTTTTTTGAGACAGCATCTTACTATGTAGCCCAGGCTGGCTTTGAACTTGTAATTCTCCTGACTCATCCTGCCCAAGCTCTGGGATTTCAGGTGTATGCCACTTGAGACTCTTTTTGGTTTTGGGGTTTTTTTTAATAAGCACATAGTATTCATGATGCACCAGGTTCTTGCCCAAGGGCACATGGCTAGTAAGTGGTAGAACTTGAATTCAAACCCAGGAAGTCTGAGTTCAGAGTTTATGCTCTTAACCTCTATGCTATCTAATTAATCACTACATTCCTAAAATCCAGTGAAGCACTTAGCAAATAATAGGTATTTGATAAATATTTAATAGTTAGAATTAACCCTTTACCACCCATACTCCAGGAAACTTACAGAAAACAAAGAAGAACGTTAGGAAAGGCTAAATGTCCCAGAAGATCAATTTGGTTCTCACGTCTCTCACCCTTTCAAACTACTAAACAGGTCCTCGGTGACTTTGTGCACCTGTAGCACATCCTCTCGGATGAGAGTGATGTATAGGGAGCCCTGCAGACACAGCTTCCACAGCTTCTGGCACTGGCTATTGGAGTTGAGGCACCCGTGACAAAGAAGAAACCCAACTGCAGGAGGTAGAGAGTACAGGGAAAAGCATTCAAAATGTACTCTCCATGGAAGATGCTCTATACCCTTCCCCACCTAATCCCACAAAACTTACTTATAATCCATCGCTCCATCACTTCCACAGACAGATACTCACAGGCCATCTACAAGAAGAGAGGAAGAGATAGTCAAGTAGTTATTAACTTAGTGTTTCCGTGAGTGAAAAAGTTAACCTAGAATCTGAGTAAAACCAACTTTTGGGGGCTGGCAGAGTGGCTCAAGTGGTAGAGCTTCTGCTAGCAAGCATAGAGTTCAATCCCCAGCAATGGAAAAAGAAAACATTTTTGGGCTGGAGTTATAGCTCTGGGGTAGAGTGCATGCCTGCATGCCTGGCATTTATAAGGCTTTGGGTTCAAAAAAAAAAAAAAAAAGAAGAAAAGAAAAGAACTTTTATTTTACCAGACTGGATTAGGGCACTTCAGTAAGCAGATAGCTGGGAAACCTGCCAATAAGGAAGGGAGGTCCTGGAATTGGACATAGTTGAGAAAAGAACCCAAGCTTGGGCTATAAATCAGGACAAACAAAATGTTAACATAATTTCTCTTTATCTTCAATAGCTCAGATACTTTTAACAACAGAATAACAAAACCTTTTTTCTTTTTTTTACAAAAACAGAAACAGGAGTGCAGAACAGGTCCAGAACATTCCCTGGGGGGATGGGTATCAGTGGGAGAGGGGGAAGATGTGGAGAAAGTATGTAGGAGGGTGAATATGATGCCAATATTGTGTACACATGTATGTAAATGGAAAAATGAGACCTGATGAAACTTCTCCAGGAATGGGAAGAGGGAAGATGAAGGAGAATGATGAGGGGGTGAATTTAACTATGACATAAGAACTTTGTAAATGCCACAATGTACCCACAGCACAATAATAGTTTAAAAAAAAAAAAGACACATTCACACACACAAAAAAAAAAAAACTTCTTGTGTGATTTCTTCCTCCTTTGGATCCTTTTACTACACTTAAAGTAGAAATCACTTATTTGGCAGTTATTACTAATCTTGTACCATCAGTTGAATTTTTATGACAAGGTGGCAGTAGGCTGTAAGTTTTCTTGAGGAAGTGTTGAATAAAAACACTTATCAATTAACTGACTCCTAAGCTCAAATTCCTAGTGGAGTCTAATGACTCAGTTTCTTTTTTGTTTGTTTTGATTTTGGTTTTTGAAATTGCTTTGTTCATTAGCTTTTGAGACAGGGTTTCCCTATGTAGCCCAGGCCAGTCTCAAACTGGTTATCCTCCTGCCTCTGCCTCCCAAGTGTTAGGATTACAGGCTTGTACCACCAGGCCTGGCTGACTCATTTCATCCATTAATTTTCTGTGATTAGTTATTAAATTCCTCCTATGAGTAGGCACAAATTAATCCTGGTCCAAACAAATCTCCAACCCAACCATGACTTTTCACCTATAAGAACTGGTGAACTGGAGTAGGGCATGGCTTGCCTAGCATGCTCAAGGCCCTGAGTTCAATTACAAGTACGGCCTAAATAAATAAATATAAAAACAAAAAAGTGATCAATGTAGAGGTTTATTCTAGCAGAGAGTTAACGCATTCTTAGGGCTAATATTTCCTGAAAGAAACGCCTTCAACCCAGATGGCCTTGGCAGAGAGCACCTCTCCTGACAGAAGAAAAAGGGAACTCACTGTGTCTGAATTAGCAGGGTTAATCATGGCTGGGGGGGAGCTGATGAGACTTAGAAGCTGAGCGCTGCGCCACTGCTCTGCCCCCTGGTTCCTTCGGACAAAGAGGAAGTGCAAAGACAGGAGGGCTCCACTCACCGCCTGTAGGAAATAACAAATCCTTAATGTCAAAGATAGGAACAAATACTTCGACCTGAGAGATTCTCCATTCTCTTGGGAAAATTGCCTTTGTATGAGGCCCAAACTCTTCTGTCAGCTTCTTCAGAGGGTGGTCATACTCTAAGACCATCTGGCCCAGACGAGCAAAACTGGGATCACTGGAAGAAAGCAGAGTAGAGAGGAGTTACAGACCTTAACTGTGACATAAATGCCTATGTTTGCATATAGGACAAAGACATGAACGTAGATTGCATTCCCCATCACCTCCACAGACAACATACTAAACTGTGTCTGTCTGTATGTTTACATGTACAGATGCCCCACTGCAGGCCCAGGGAATAAGCTATAGTTAGATAGAACCATTCAATTTTAGGCAGGTCATTCAAGTTTCTTCCTGTTAAGCACCAAAATAGAATTGGGTCCATGACAGGTACTCTATAAATTTGTGTCCACTATTTGGAAATCAAGTAGTAGCCTGGACCCAAATCTCTATACAATCAGATGGACATATTAATATTTAAAGCTAATAGATAAGACATAGCCCAGGCACCCATAAGACACAGGAGAATGCATATCACACAGAACAGTGTGCCATGTCTCACTCTGATCCTTCTGATCTTCATTTTTTAAGCCCTTAAATACTTATATTTGCACTAATAAGGGAGGACAAAATATAGATAATCCAAAATTCTTTATATTTGGCCTCAAATGTATTATCACACATTACTTACCTCTAATGCTTAACCCTACTGGTATTAATTCTACCAATACTAAGAAGAATTGTCTTTGCCTTTTGTAATAACCTGAAAGCAGAATTGAGGCCAGTCCAGGATTAAAAATAGATCAGAGATCATGAAAACTGAATAATCTGCTAGCAGTTATTCAAGAGTTAACTATATGTAAAAGTATACCTTACTTTTCCTGGATTATCATATAGATTATAGTTCATATGAGAAATCATGGCATCTATTTTCTTTGCATCTACTCCCTACATCATAATGCCATATATGAAGCTCTTCACCTCCCCTAACTCAACCTATGACCATGCAGCATCTCATGGCACAGTTGTACATGCCAATAAGTATCCGTCGGTCCTCGATCCGTACAGAAGTAAAATGACTGAGGTGTAAGTCACAATCAAGTCCAGGTAACTCGAGTGAAGTCAAAGTTGAGATTCTGCAAGAAAAATGCATAGGAACCCAAGACAGCATAGTCAATTAATCTGGACCTCCGATTTTCCCAACCATTGCCAACAGTGCTAAATAAATAGACTCTGGGTAAGTCTATTAGTAACAGAACTGACAGGATAGAAAATTAAGAAGAGAATTTAAACAAAAGTTGGGGGCTCAAGAACAAGGAGACCATGAAATAAGTAGCATTTGGGGGTTGGAGGAAGTAAAGTGAAAAGATTTTTGTGTAATTTTTCTATTAACTAAGTCACATTGCTGATCTGCTTAACACTTAAGTACATTTTAACTTCAAACACTTTTTATGAAAGAATAATGGTCTTGAGAAATAACAAATAAAATAGCCATTCTTTCAGTCCCATCCCACCCTACATTGCCCCGATTTGGACCTGGCATTTTCTTTAATTCTATTCTATGATAAAAGAAAATTGCAAAGAATCTTACAATATCGAAATGGCACTGGCAGGCATCAATGGTGTTGAGAAGTTCATATACATGATCCTGGGTGGAATTGAAGATGAGAATGAATAAAAGAACACAAAGAAGATGACACGTACTCCAAAAATGAAATTTTTTGCAACAGGGTCTCGTTACATAGCCCAAGCTGGCCTCAAACTCCTGATTCCTTCTGCCTCAGCCTTCTAAGTGCTGTACTACCAAAGTTTGAGGGGAAAGGACCACTTCCTTACAGGTATTAGAACCTCCAAGTAAGAAAGGGAGGCATTGTTCAAAAGAGGGAAAAATGGCTGGGTGTATGGCTCAAGTGGCAGAGCACTGTTCTAGCAAGCATCAGTCCCTGAGTTCAAACACCAATACCACAAAAAAAAAAAAAAAGAAAAGGAAGAAGTTCCTTCCCCATAAGCCATCAGTGGTCTCTGCCATGCTACTCTGCCAAATGGCCATGTCTACAGGCACAAGTCACTACTATACTGTGCACACTCTCCCTGATCTCATCATCCCTGGGTGCTATTCCTTCACAAGGAAAATGAACAAGTTTAAAAGCATTTGGCAGTTTCTTATAAAATTAAGCATATTCTTCTATAAAGAACTACAAGGGGCTGGAGAAGTGGATTAAATGTAGAACACTTGCCTAACAAGCATGAAGCCCTCAGTTCAACCCCACTGCCACCGAAAATTAATTAAATATTTCTACCAGAAAAAAAGTACTAGAGGCTTGGGGATAGTAGAGAACTTTCCTCAAGGGCATAAGGACCTTGAGGAGTTTAATTGTCAACATTGAAAAAAAAATTTGCAAAGAAGTAGAAGAGAAAATTCAAATACAAACAAATAATAAATGTTTAAGGAGATAGAAATGCTAATTATTCTAATTTGATCACTACATATTGTATACATATATGGAATTAGCACATTAAACCCCAGCAATATGTATAATTATTATCAATTAAAAATGAGAAAAAATGGAAAAATTTTAAAAATTAAACATACTTCTTACCATAAAATTCAGCAAATCAACTTCTAAATCATTTACCCAAGTGAAATAAAAAAATCTCCCTACAAAGTTTATACTTGAATATTTTTAGCAATTTATGCATAATGCCTAAACACTTGAAACAACCCAAATGTCTATCAACAGGTAAATGAATACACAAATTATAATCCATACAATGGAGTTGTTCTCAGCAAAAATAATGATGAAGTGCCTGATACCTGCAACAACATAAATAAAAATATCAAAAGCCTTATGCTGCATGAAAGAAATAAAACACAAAAGAATACACATTGATTAGATTCCATTTATTTGAACTTCTAGGGAAAAAAAATCTGTTCTAGAAAGCAGATTAGTGATTACCCAGGGCTAGGAGTGAAAGGTAAGGATTGACTAGGGGACAAAAAGCCCAAGGAAACTTTGGGGCAAGAGACATTTTCTATCCTTTGATTGTAGTGGTGATACACAGGTGGACACATTTGTCAAAGTTTATTAAGATGTTAGATTTAAAAAAAAGTTTCCAACTTATCATCCCAAAAGTCTATGTCTAAATAAATGGATGGGGAAAACCAAGGCTAAGAGTGTTGATAAACTTGCCCAAAATCACAGCTAGTACAGAATTTGAAACCAGATCCTATGGTCTTCCCTATAGCTGTGTGACCTCCATACCTCTAAATCTATGCTGCCTCATTTGTTGTTTTGGTAGCACTGGGGTTTGAACAAAGGGCCTACACCCTTGCTAGGCAGACACTCTTATTACTGAACCCTTCCACCAGCCTATACTGCCTCATTTTTTAGGAATGCCTTCCTACAATTCTAGCCTGCAACCCAGCAACTACAGAATATAGCTGAATTCTCTTTCAGCCATTCACACAACCAGTGTCATTATATAGGTCTTACATTCTAAAGACAAGAAAACCAGATGGGAATTCATGCTGACCTATTACTTTACTATATGCTAAACTCTGAGCTAGACATTTTTTACACAGCCTCTAGTTTCATTCTCACAAACACCACAAACCGTAAATTTTATTTCCTTCTTTTATAGATAAGAAAACAGATTCAAGACTGGCCTTTCTAAAGTCATTCTGTTTGGAAGTGGTAATGCTGAGATTTGAACCCTGCTCTGTCATAATCAATGTCTACCTACTTACAATAGACCATAATTCAGTGTCTCTACTTCCCTTCCTATCTAAACAAGCCATACCAAAACTCTTTTGGCTCAGAACTTTACCACCATAGCAACCAGGAGGTGTCCTAAAATCTCCTTTGGATTCCAAAGATTGTTTTTCAAACTTCCAGGATGCTTTCTACTGCCTCCACCAGTGCCTACACTCTTCGTAACCACTACTCTCAATTCCAAGACCAATACGCTCTGGCATGACCCTACTTTGGGCCTTATGGTCCTCCATGTTCCAACTTCTGTCTTCATCATCTAATGATGTTATCTATTGAATGTTCTAGATTAGCTCCCTGAAGTATACACAGGGCTCCCAAGGGAGGACCCACACTCTTGCACCATCTGAAGAAATATTACACCACCACAAACTTGGGTTTCTCAAAGGCTAAAAAAGTGCATTGCTTCTTCAATATGTAAATAATGCATGTGGTAGAAAATGCAGACAAGCTTAATTCTAATTAAGTTTTTAAATCACTCATAATCCACCAATCAGAAATTCCAGACTTCTATAAATGCATATTTCTCTGTCAATACACATTTTTAGAGACATCTTACATCTAAAACTGTTTTTAAATTGCTCTTATATTAAACAATAGGTGAAGAACTTTTTTTTTTTTTGGCAGAACTGGGGTTTGAACTCAGGGCTTTGTGATTACTAGGTAGCACTCTACCACTTGAGCCACACCTCCAGCCCTGTGAAGAGCATTCTTATGTATCAATTCCTATAAATATATTATCAGCTTTAACAACTGCATACTGTTTATAGGCATAAAACCTGAACTTTTAACCAAACCTCTAATTTGCGATAAATTATCAAGTTGTTACTATCATAAAAAGGCAAAAAAGAATTTTTTTTTTTGTGGTACTGGAGCTTGAACTCAGGGCCTTTACCTTAAGACACTCCACCAGCCCGTTTTGTGATGTTTTTTTTTTTTTTCAAGATAGTGTCTCTCAAACTATTTGCCCTGGCTGGCTTCGAACCTTGATCCTCCTGATCTCTAGCTAGTATTACAGGCATGAACCACCGGCACCCAGCTTCAAAGTACATTCTTGTACATATATCTTGTACTTCTCTCTGATTGTCTTCTTAAGAAAATAATTTGTCCAAAAGACTGTGACACAGTTACTCCAGAGGCACCTGCACACCCATGTTTATTGCAGCACTATTCACAATAGCCAAGTTATGGAAACAGCCAAGATGCCCCACCACTGACAAATGGATTAAGAAAATGTGGTGTCTAACACAATGGAATTTTATGCAGCCATGAAGAAGAACGAAATGTTATCATTCGCCGGTAAATGGATAGAATGGAGAGCATCATTCTGAGTGAGGTTAGCCTGGCCCAAAAGACCAAAAATCGTATTTCTCCTCATATGTGGACATTAGATCAAGGGCAAACACAACAATGGGATTGGACTTGAGCACATGATAAAAGCGAGAGCACACAAGGGAGGGGTGAGGATAGGTAAGACACCTAAAAAATTAGCTAGCATTTGTTGCCCTTAACGCAGAGAAACTAAAGCAGATACCTTAAATGCAAACTGAGGCCAATAGGAAAAGGACCAGGAACTAGAGAAAAGGTTAGATCAAAAAGAATTAACCTAGAAGGTAACACACACGCACAGGAAATCAATGTGAGTCAATGCCCTGTATAGCTATCCTTATCTCAACCAGCAAAAACCCCTGTTCCTTCCTATTATTGCTTATACTCTCTCTACAACAAAATTAGAAATAAGGGCAAAAATAGTTTCTGCTGGGTATTGAGGGGGGGGGGAGAGGGAGGGGCAGAGTGGGTGGTAAGGGAGGGGTGGGAGTAGGGGGGAGAAGTGACCCAAGCCTTGCATGCACATATGAATAATAAAAGAAAAAAAAAAGAAAACAATTTGTCTCAAGACAAAATTTTCTAGAAGTATTAATTACTTCATTAATTTTTCAGACTTTTGAAACATGTTGTTGATTTATAATGTACTAATCATAAATAATTTTAATGGGTTTTTTATGTTTATAAAATAGTGCATGCTTATTCTTTAAAATTCAAATAAAATATTGCCTTGTAGTATTGCTACCAAAAACTTAAAATAAGACAAATCCAAATTGAGGGATTATTCTGAGAACTAACAAGCCGGATTATTCAAAAAGCTTGAAATGAGAGAGAAAGAAAAAGGCTGGAAATTATTTCTACATTAAAGACTAAAGAGACAAACTAAATCCAATGAGTGAGCCTTGGCAACAGCTGGAGATGTAAAATGTCATAGCCAATAATATTGTAGCAATATTAATTTCCTCACTACATAGATCATGTGTATTAATTATGTAAGAAAATA